AGATGGGGGCAGTTGCAACCTTCCAAAACCTCCATTGGCCTTGCCGATAATTCGATTTCATTTAAGGCCATTGGTAAAGTGGATGTATTATATACGGTCGGTAGGCTTACCCGACTGGTGCCAACGCTTGTCATACCTATCTCAATGAAACAGCCAATTATGGGACGGACACTCCTTGCGGCCTTCTTTTTCGAACTGGTGCAGAACCAAGAGAAAGTTGAACGATTTTTAAAACATACAGCCAAAGGTGATACTGAAGAAGTTGCATCCGCTAAAGTCGAAATGGTTACGGCGGATAAATTTATTAATTTTTGTAATCAGCCACCAGGGAGTGGGAAAGAACAAGCTCAGGTGTCTTCTATGAGTAATGATCTGGAGCCAATTGACGCTTCCACACTCGGTTTAGAGGGTGAACTAGATACCCCAAAAATAACGAGCGTCAGCCTTCCACATAATCTCACCCCATATCAAAGAAAATATTGGACGCCGTTCTCAGACTTTTTAATCCAACTCCTGAGTCTGGTCCTTTAAACGTCACTAATCAGATCGAACACGTAATTGATACGGGTGATGCAAAACCCGTCATGAAACGCCAGTATCCAGTATCGCCATACGTGGCTGAACAAGTTCAAGCCGAACTGAATAAAATGCGTAGTCGCGACATCATTATGACCATCGAAGAAAGCCCTTGGCGGTCACCAATTCTGGCTGTAAAGAAGAAAGACGGAACGTGTCGCGTGTGCTTGGACGCGAGATAGCTGAATAAAATTACCATTCCAAATGCCTGTCCAATTACGGATACTAACCAAATTTTAGCACGACTAAAATCAGCTAAATACCTAACCAGTATTGATCTGTCTCAAGCTATCTTTCAAATTCCTTTGGCAAAATCGAGTCAACTGAAAACCGCTTTTGCATTCGGTAACAGACTTTATGCTTTTCGTCGCATGCCGATGGGGTTGAGAAATTCACCCGCCACATTAGCCATTCTCATTGATAAAATTTTCTGTGATTTGGTTCCACATGCATTCGCATATGTCGATGATTTCATAATTTGCACATTTGCACTTCGACGTTTGAAGAACACGTTAAGATATTGGCTATTGTTGCAAACCGTCTGGCGTATTCGAGCGATTGTTGAATTTGCACGGCCCAAAACGGCAAAAGAAGTCAGACGGTTCGTTGGTGCAGCAGGCTGGTACCGTAAATTTATTCCAAATTTTTCGGAGATCACAGCTCCCCTTTGTGAATTGTATAAATGAGACCGAAAAGGACCCATTGAATGGGCAACCGCTACTGAACAAGCCTTTCTCAAAATCAAAGAGTGTTTAACTTATTCAAAACCATTCAAGGTTTATACCGATGCCTCGCTGATCGCAGCGGGAGCTATTCTAGTACAAGATCATGATGGGAATGAACGTGTGGTTCAGTATTTTTCTAAGAAATTCTCGAAAGCCGAACAAAATTACACAGCATCTGAACGGGAATGCCTAGCCGTTCTCTTAGCGGTCGAAAAGTTCCGTCCATATTTTGAGGATCGTGAATTGGTTGTGGTAACGGACCATGCAGCATTGCGCTGGCTACAAACTCTCAAAGAACCAACTGGCCGTTTATGCCGTTGGGCTATCCGATTATCACCCTACGATCTCAAAATTATTCTTAAACCAGGAAAACATTTAGAACTTCCTGACGCCTTATCTCGTTCTTTTGCTCTTCTCAACATCGTTCGTAGAAATCCAATTGACCTTCCTAGTAATTTTCACGTTAATCGTATCCCAATCACATCCGTGATCAACATTGACCCAAACACGTGCGATAAATGGTACAACAAAATGCATGCCATGGCCTCAAAACAACCATTAGATAGATATAAAATCGAGAACAACCTTCTATATCATCGATTGAAATTTTCCAATCAAAGTGCGGAAATACTGTGGACACTTTGTGTACCATCTTCTGACAGAGCAAAAGTCCTCGATGAAAATCATAACCAACATTCGCATCAGGGTGTTTGGAAAACTTATAGACGTATCTCACAGCGCTATTACTGGCCAAACATGTATGAGTCTGTTTACCAGTACGTTCGGCAATGTGAACTATGCCACCGCAATAAACCAAGTAATGAGAGCATCAAAACACCTCACGGCGAATATAGAGAACCAAAACGACCGGGTAGGTAATTATCGATTGACTTCGTCGGTAAGCTGCCCATGTCTAAAAATCGTAACCAATGGATCTTCGTAGCCATCGACTGTTACTCGCGATATGTCTGGGCGCAGCCCTTGAAAAATGCAAACGCCATATCCGTAGTCAATTATCTTCGACATATATTCACGGTGAATGGCTGCCCCGAACTCATTATATCAGATAATGGTACTCAATTCATCAGTCAAACTTTCGCAAAGCTTTGCGTCGATTATAACATCAAACACATGAAAACGCCTTTGTACCATCCACAAGCCAATCAGGTTGAGGCGACAAACAAAAGCATTAAACTTGGATTACGTACTCACATGGCTGACCTTCTTGAACATTCCCCCTGGGAAAACCATCTGTCTCGTGTTATTTATGATATTAACACTTCAGTGCATTCAGCCACGGGCTACACGCCATATTTCCTGCACATACCATACACAGGATGTGGAACAGCGTAAAGTTCTGGCTGATGAAATTCGAGACAAACAGTTCGAACAATATCAACAAACCGCACAACGGGCATTTACCCGCAAAAGAGAACGCCATTTCGAGATAGGCTCGTAAGTGTACATTCCCAATCCTAAACAGTCAGTGGCCGGAGAGGGCTATGCACAAAAACTAGCCACACCAAAAACTAGAGCCTATGTTTCACGGAAACTTGGTTCGAATTCATATGAACTGATCGATGTTAAACACCGAGTGCTTGGCCATTATTCCGCCGTTTTAATTACAACACGTTAACTCATTCAGTATATTCGCCTTCTCAAGAATTTCGATGAATATATGGCGGGCCTCCATATTCCATTGATTCTGCCTTATTACAGGGTACCCGGCTTCTTAAGCAAACAAAAACAAATGTGATATCCCATTAGGCTCGAAACGGATCCCTAGCGTAATCGATCCGCTACAATCGGATAAATCGCGTATCGATAACTTGGTAGTGGCACTAGTCGAACCGAAAGGGCCATCTTCAGGGAAATACTCAAAACCGACGCCACTTTTCTTGGATTTTTCTCCGTCACAAACGTTTACGCACGCTAAATATCTATAAGTAGACGAGGTAAGTGGTACACGTAGTAACGGGGTTGGTTGTGTGTAATGGTGCATAATAAAAATCCACACCCGTTTCGATTCACAGTTATCCTCAAACTTACTCTCAAGTGCCATTTCAGAACCATGGTACTCCCCCCGTATGTGAAGGTTGGCCAGCAAGTGCAGCATCTGATGCGTCTAACAATCAAGTGGGACCACAATGACGCCCTGCCGATATTCGCGCTCGAGATCGACCCTAAAGCGCAAAAACCCCCATTGGCCGTGATTCCCAAGGGCTCCGATGGCCCGTACTTGTCGGCAACCGAATCGGTTTTTTGTCGGTTGCGTGGGGTAGGGAAGTCGATCCTTGATGTCTATGCACCGCCATTCGAGTCACAAGCGACTGGCGGGGAAATTTGCGTCCTGTTCGCCCAGTGGCATGATGAGCCGACACACCGTGCCGCAATCGGCTATCTACGTATCAGTTCTCCTGACCAAATCGGCTTCAGCGACTTCAGGACGTCACTGGCCAAAGGCGTACCACGCAACATGTTAGACAACACCGCCTTTATTGTCGGTTTCTGTAGGCCATACTACCCATTTCACTACGAGGCAACTTTGCGGATGTACAATGTAGTCAACCGGGACCTAGCATTTCGACTGGTATGCTACCACAAAGCACAGGGGACCCAACTCTAGTGACCCTCTTAACCCAAGTGGACATGCATGCGAGGAACCTGTTGAAAATGTACCAACAGCAATTGCACCATAGGGACCGGAGCATGGGGCCGTCTACGCTGTCCTCATCCTCAATACCAACCACTGTTCAACTAACCACATCACGCGCGGTACGATTCATCCGCACCATCGATCTGCCACGGCGCTGTCTACTCTTAAAATCCACCGAAACCACCCCGACAGAAACCGTTTGGGTTCCCGGAAGTCCGTCTATGGTTCGTCGCAGAGATGCTTTTCACCAACCCAATCTGTCGTCGCTTTCTGAAAGAGAATTCGGGAGAACACCATAAAAAATAAATAAAATAAAATAAAATAAAAAAATAAAAAAAGAAGAATGATATTGAAATAATAATTACGTTGTAAATGAAATGAATTACTGAATAAATTAATTAAATTTAGTTTTGTTATATCCATAGTTTTGTTATATTATATCCTCAGTACATTGCTGGTAAATCGATCAAAGCAAACAAGTAAGGATTCATAGCCAAATCATTTACCAATGACTTTCATCTACCGTAGCTTATGTAATGCGTACTGAAACTAAATAGGAAAGACAGAACTTGTGTACATACATATGCTCTCCGCGGCGAACTGAACGAGTCAGGATGGGGTTGATGAAGATCATGTAGAACGATTTCAATGTAAGGTCTAACGTCCATCAAACCACAGCCAGTGCATCGCATTCGAACCACCATTCTCATATCCCTACTAAACGCTCCACATTTTTTTGTTAACGTGTCGCTGAAGATGAGAGGGGGATAATGATCTATTATTTTTATTGCCCAAATAATAGACATAAGAACGATTAAAAGTAATGTAAACATAACAAAACTGTCAAAGCTAAACTTCAAAAGGGGGGGGATTGCCAGATGAATGTACGTAACCAATAGTTATTCAAGACACGAACCATCATATCGGTATAGACACGAATTGACATGTCCACTATGAAAACGGCCACACTGATATACGATAAAAGAATCGGTGATGACATACCACGAGGCTAGACAGATTTTTCTTTTTCTTTTTGGCATTGGACACGGAGCGAACCACACTCATCAGCCCTCGCAAGACCGGAATTACAACCAAGTAATTAAAGTGGATTAAAAACTGGTATTAAAAGCTGGCGACATTCGGGGAGTCGATACTCACCCCTCAGTGGAAATTAATAGAGGCAAAAGGTGCCGTGACATTCCTTCCGGCAAATCCCCAGCCATGTTATTGCGTAGAATAAAGAAGTTGTGAGCATCAAATCCGGACTATTCATTTCACAGCAATTGAGTCACCATAAGCCGGTAATACAAAATCATTACACGTAAGTTAGCCACTTTCTTGCCACCATCCATTGGAAACGAGCTATCTATCAACCGTAAATAAAGATTCCTGTTTGGACCGACAAACGAAGGTCAAGCAAATCAAGCTCCCTACGCACACAGATCCCAATTAGCAAAAAAGCTTGCAATCACGGTTATTTATATTAAAAATTCAGTACTTACCATTAAGTTCGTACTCATGGATATATGCGCAAAGTCGCAGCTCGCGAAAATGCTGTTTTGTTTTCACTTATAAAAATTAACATCATATCCGTTGTGAATATTCTAAAAACGTGATCGGAGCTAATCACCCTCATTGCGAGAGTCGTGTCGAATGCAAGTCGTTTTTCGAGAGTCGAATCGTAACGTAAAAACTTGTATATGTATGATTTTCGTCCTTTACTTCTTTCAGCACGACAGTAGACAATGCCAATGTTGTCGAGTCGTACAATTTATCCTAATTTACGACTTGCGCCATGAGGCTGAATATATTTATCACATATTATTGTATGCATAAAAACGACTTAGTTCATGATATTTATTAAAATACTACATAAACAAATTATTGTCTTTTAGTTGTATAATGTAGTGCTGACCGTAAGAGGTAGTACATTTTCAAGTTGCTGAGGTACAGAAAAGTTCCACCGTACAAGTCGTACAATTTATCCTAATTTACGACTTGCGCCATGAGGTTGAATATCTGTATCACATATTATTGTATGCATAAAAACGAGTAAGTTCATGATATTTATTAAAATACTACATAAACAATTATGTGTCTTTTAGTTGCATAATGTAGTGCTGACCGTAAGTGGTAGAAAATTTTTAAGTTGCTGAGCTACAGAAAAGTTCCGCCCGGTACCGCTTTGGACTTCCTATTGAACTATTCGTTGTAGAGCCTTTTATATATGTTATTTCAAAATTAGCTTCTTTTACCTGCGCGTTTACTTTTCACATGTTTGTATAAGGCTGACTTCCAAAACGTACCAATACAATAGTTGAACACTGTTTACCGTTGCCAGACGTACTGATTTTATCAGTACAGTACTGATTTTTCAACTCTTGTACTGATTTTATTAATTTCTTCAATCAGTACGCTAATGTCCCGATTTTTAAAAATTTCTACTGATTTGTACTGAACTTTCAATTCAAACAAAATACTTTAGGATTTTCTTAAGGTTTTTACATAACGTTGGAACTTTCTTAAAACGTACTGAAAAAGTAAGAAGAAAATCATATAATTATTGTTGACATGTTTCAGATAACTAGTATCGCCCAGTTGTCGAAATTCGACATTCTTTAACACACTTTTAAATTTTGCTTGTCACTAATATTGCCTCCTCTATGCGAATGACGATTTTGAAGTTAACCACCAAAATTTATAGTTAATTTACAATTTATTAGCTTTCGAAATTATACCGAGAAAGGAACCTCAATTTTCATTTATAAAAAATATGTATTCGTACGTGTAGATGAGATATCTAACGGTTCCTCACTGACTTTTATACCATTGACAGATGGAAAGGGTTATTTGCATAAATGGGTTCTATTTGCATAAACTCGTGCATATTCCTCTTTCAAACGCGCATAAGCACTCGTACAAATGCACGAAATTTTCGTGCATATATACTGAATTTTCCGATTTCAATATGGCAATGCTACCACTTTTGACAGCAGTTTACCATTGTGAATGAGCCCAGTTGTTTATTGCTGCTGTCAAAATGAAAGCCGATGAAATACAAAGCAAACGAAAAGTAAATAAAGGTTAGTATTATTAATTCATTTTATGCAAAATGAAACGAAATACAAAATTAAAATGCATATTTTTCATTTTCAGATGTCTACAGAACCGAAAAACCGAGCAATGTGGAGTGGGTGCGAGGAAAAGGTGCTCCTGGAACTGTGGGCCGTACGAGCTGCGGATCTGCGGCGTGCCAAAAGAAATGGCCATATTTTCGCCGAAATATCAATGGAACTGGCTGGAAAATTCAGTGCACAGGACGTGCACGTGAAAATTAGGAACATGACGCAGAAATATAGGTATATTTTACTAACAATACATTGTTGAGCAACTTATATATTTATTTCAAAATTTTGCAGAGAAGAGAAGAAGAAAATGGGACCGTCGGGTGGTAGTCCTTCCCCGTGGAAGCACTATATGGCTGTGCACCAAATAATTGGAGGAACTGCAGTCAACAACGCAGAAATATACGAGTCGGTTTCGATGGTATGTACTTTCAGTGCAGTTTTATTTCAATTTTTTTCACAAATGTATGTATGTATATTAAATTTTTTAGGACATATCATCCGTGGAATGCTCCCAGCCTCTATTGGCAGTACCAGCAATATTGCCGTCACGGCCAACAGCAGTAGCAACAACCCCAGTACCAGCACCATCACCGTCACCGTCAACATCGGGGCTACCAGCTTCATCGCAACCACTGCCAGCTGCTATGCCAGTACTGTCGCCACC